ATTATAATATTTTACAAGGTCGTTGGGCGTTTTCTTGTAGCTGAGAGTTGATAAACTGTTTAGCTTTGGGTAAAACGCAGCGCTTGTCACTGTCACTTTTTACCCAGCCGTCCAATCAATGGAGGAGGGGCGGGACAAATACTACACCGACCAATCATACTACTTGTACAACTGAACAACAATAGAGAGGTTAATATTGCTGGTTACTGCATTTTTATATTCAGTGATATTCTTCAAAATGAGATACTAGTAATAATACGTTACTGCCGTGGATATTTCAAATCATAGCAACCAAAGGGTCTCTCAGCTAGAAAAACGCTGTGCCACCAAAGCGTTCTCCAGCACCACCAGCTGGCCGTTTTCAGAAGAGCGCCTGACAGTTTTACAGCTGACTAAAAACGCTTTGGTGGACACACGTTATTGAATATTTATTGTTAGGCATATGGCCTATTAGTGTTTTTTGCATTTATGCAATATACTGGAGCCAAACCTGAGAAAGTAGACCAGAATATTCCACTGCGTACCTGGACACGCAATTTACGTAGCTGTAATTCATAGGCGGGGATTATGCTAATTGTGAATGAGCGTGCACGAGCGCCCTATTTACGAATGATTGGAATTCATTAACATACACATGTTTAACTATCAAATCTGATGTGTACGAAGTGTTTGTGAATTCGGAGGAGAGTTTTCGGGAAGGTCCGTTTTACGCGCAAATTACTCAGAATTTACTCCTATATAAATATATTATTATTACGAATGTTTCATGAATGAGGCCCAATGTGTTCCCATAATATGGTAAATATATACACTCTTAAAAATAAGGGTTCTTTATTGGCATTGATAATTATATGAAGAAGCTTTAAAAATGGTTCGTTATAGTGGAAAAACGTTCTTTAGATTATTCAAATGTTCTAAGAAAAAACGGCTCTTTAAAGTACTGTTTGCTGAAAGGTTCTTTAAGAAATGTAAAAATGTTTTTTCTATGGCACTACTGGTTTCTAAACAAAAACACACAAAAAAACTACATAATTTTTTCATTTCTTGATCCCCCTAGTTTTGAACATTTGGCTGCATTTTTGCAAATATAAAGTCTAACTTACGTATCGCCATAGTTACACACGAAAATAGTGGATTCTGGGTGAGGGGAGAAGTTTTCAATTCCTTTAGAGCACACATTTACTGCACAGCCCAGCTTGAAGCTTGTAGACCACATTAACTGAAAAGTACAATACATGCACAAATACATGAGGTTGATAAACATTTGATTTTCATTCTTGAAAAATATACACTGAACATACCTGTGCGTAGTGGCCGCACATGTGTGAGCAGTTGTTATTTTTGAGTGAGTAAGCGCCTTCTTTGCTCCATCTGTGTATGGCGTTCTCCACTGAGAAGGCTGAAAACGGAGCCCCCAGCCAGATGTTCTCGCCCATCCACCCAAACAGTGGGTTACCAAAATGTGCCAGCCCAGGGTGATGAGAGGCCTTGCAGTGTCTCGCTCGGTCTCTGGCACCTTTGGCCAATTCATTGTCCCAGGACTGTGAACAAACACACAAACAATACTCCATATATCAATTAAATTACAAAACATAGATATGGTTTAAGATGTAACGGACAGGATTAGATGAACAAGCGCCACGATGACTATTTTAGTGTCCACAGTCCACACCAATGAAAAATAATGTCCTGTTTATTCTAAGCGTGCACTGCAGTTTTGTCATCTACCGATTTAAATTCTCAAGCTCTTTAAAGCAGGATGGATTTTGATTGGCTGGCAATGTTTTTAGCGTTCATCTAAAGTGATTCCAACATTCCAATGAGTGATTCCAATGTTACTCTTTGTGGTTTTTGTTATAGTTATGATGTGAATTTACCTATTCTCAAAGAATTAGAAAGATTATTAAAACTTTATTGTCCTTGGTGTGAACGGGCCAGAACATTTGATTCTGAAACACTTTACTTGTACAACTGGTTGTTCTGTGCTACAATATTTCACTTATTTCAACCACAATCATTTGCTTACATATTACTAATAAGCTTATATTTGCAACATTAAAAAACACAGGTTATTAGATCAAATAAATAACACATTTCAAATGCTCACTGATGAAGAGATATCTGAGAATATCTTTCCAGAACCCTCTTGAGGCACCATCACAATCACAAAGACCCTTTGTTTTCTTTTCATTCTTCTACTACTACTAAAAAAACAACAACAACAATCCAGATCAATACACACACAATAAGGAGCCTTTTCTTTCCACTCATACAGAAACATCTTTCCATTGCCATGGCAACCAGAATTATGGTTGTACATATTTTTTATACTAAAAACCAAACACTGAGACAAAAACAAAATGACATGCTGTTAGTATAGCATAGATATATTACAATGAGCGTTTAAAATGTGGAACATGGAGACAACGGGTTTCACAGACAAACACGTAAACACACAAATGTAGATGAACGTGAGTAAACAAGATGAGCAAATGCGTGAATGATTAATACTGTCAGGAATGATTAATCTAAAAGGAAACATCAAATACCTGAACACCTGTCTTACCATTGAGCGCGCGCTGGCCGCAGGTGGAGCGGTGCGCGAGCGCTGCGTGTTATGCGCCAGCACACACCTGCGGATGAACTCGGGCTCCGTTATTCCCGGTAAGAGCGCCAGAACGCCGCCGGAGCCGTACAGAAGCACCGATATCCGCAAGAGGAGACCGCCGAGAGAGTCCATGGCAGGAGACTGTCCTGAGCCGCGCTGCTACTTCGCTCTGGATAAATGAGTCAATGGAGCATCACTGCAGGAGACGCGCTGACCTGTGCGTCATGGTGCCGTGGATTTGCCCACTCTATCTCTCCCTCTGTCTGTCGCTCTCTTTCTGTGTCTGTCTGTCTGTCTGTCTTGGTACAGGGGCTTTTTAAAGGACTGAAACTCAACCGCCCACCATGTCACGAAAAAATAAGATGCGCGGGACTCTTTGTCTTCATCCCTCACGCACGAGTTCACGCGCGCGCACACGCTTGTACAAAAAAAATGTAAATTAAAGCGTGAGACAAAAATGGCCATTTTGCCATATTTAGCCCGTTTATATTTAGAATGTCTATTAAAAAAATTAATTTAGAATTATTTTTGTCCGCTAAATATATTAAAGTTATTTTATTGTAGATTTAGCCGAACGTGTTAAATGTTTTAATGAAAATTATTTAAATTCAGTAGAATAATAATGGTTGTTCTCAAGGAATATTGCCTTTAATCATAGATTTATTTAGTAATAAATAAATTATTTTATTTGAATATGCTGCTCTTTTATTTAGCCCTTTATTCAAGATTTTTTGTTTATTTATTTTTTGATAACATTTAAGTCTTTTTTTACCTCTTCATGTATAGAAACGGGATAGGCCTACTCTAAATCTGCACATTTTTATACATTTGCGTAATTACGTTTAAAAATTTGGCTCTTAGTAGCATATTTTATTTTACTACATATTTGTCTGTATTTTGCCTACCTAATTATTTCTCATTTATTATCATAGTCTTCATAAATGCATTAACAGGGTATTTGTGCAGGGCGTTTCAGACTACATTACCCACAATCCTTTCATGAGCACAGTCACGTGTGTTGGGTTTAAAATCACCACAGCAACGGGAGCGCGGAAGTGAAACCTGTTAATTTGAACAACCATTTGCACAACTATTTACATAAATAGTGCACAGCACCACTTATAATGAAAGCAAACGTGAAATCTTCACCTTTACAAAAAAGTGTGCAGCAGGTAAGTGCCTGTAATAGCTTTTTAAAACGAACAGGTGTGTGTTAATTATTCTGTCAATTTACATGTATATTTATATCAAAAGCCAACGATAAGTGGAGCAGACCGCGGGCCGAGGCCAGCAGGGTAAGTTTAGAGAATTAAGAAAAGCTTACAAACACATATAATAATTATCTGTAGAACCATGAGTTGTTCATTAATTATTTATGCAAGTTATTTAATAATCAAATATCTCACAGAGTTCCAGCGTTAAAGTTAGAGACCCTGCAAGACACGGAGGAGGAGGTGGGATAACAAGACATGATGCTGTGTAGTTTATTAACTTGATTATGAATCCTAGTGAATTTAATGTTACTGTACATGTCATTTTGAACAGCATTTCCCCATAATTCCAAAGGATGCTGCTGGCAAGATTGTCCCAGGAGATCTGACAGGGCTCTCCATGAGCTGGGGCTCTCCAGCCTCCACACAATCAAAGCAGGTGCTCATTTAAAATGATCTTAAATCACCTAAAAATGCAATTCTGTCATAATATACTCTTTTCTTCTTCTTCTGTGGAACAAAGAAAAATGATTTTGAAGTACTGCTATTTTTCTCCAGCGCAATTACAATGAACGAGGCTTTCAGGCTTCAAAGCTTACAGTCTGTTCCTCACATAAAGCATGTTTCTAAAACATGTTTTTTCCCCCCACATAATACATCTTTATATCTGCTGTATCAGTGTATTTTAGTATAATTGAGATACTATTACAGTTTTTATGAATATTTTGAATTATTTTTTATTTAGTATACAGTAAACAATATATAATTCTTATATGTATAGTTTTTGTATTTTATATGTTTTATATGTTTATCTATTTTTAAATATGTCTATTTAGTTTGTATAATTTTTAATTTCTGTTTTAGTGTGTTATTTTATAGTACAAGTTAAACTAAATGAAATAATGCCAGGCTGATTTTTTTTATTATTATTATTAATTTTTTTATTTTTTATTTCAAGTAACATTTTTTATGGTTTTAGTTACCTATAATAACCCTGCTGTATATAACTACAACTGTATGTAACTTCAGTGTTTAGGTTAAGTGTCTTGTGCTTTTCCCTCCCAGTGTTTTGCGACCGAGATGAAGGACTCAATTAAAAATCAGATGTCTGCTGTGGATAATGGAGAATCGCTACAGCTGAGCTACAGAGTCCAGACACAGAGAAGTCCACTGTCTAGTCACAAACCCAACCTAGATTCATCCCACTTCACCTGTAAAATCACAGCACAACCCAACTACAACCAGTCCAACACTGTACGACCAAACAGCAAGATGAGGGATGCGGTGAGTTCTGCTAACTTTAGCATTGAAATAAGCACAGAGGTCAGGATAGATCATTTTCACTTTATAAGTAAATTATATACAACACCCTGACATCACTGAAACACTTTCTGAAAGTTATAGTGATTTAATGTTGACAAAAACAATAGTATCATGTTTTTCATAGCTACATCATAGCTACATGTTTTTGACCAGAGTTTGTTGTCTCCCCCTGGAGGAGGGTGTTTGTTATGCTCCAGAAGTCCTATGTGAGCACATAATGTGATTGGATGATATATTTATGTGTTTGTGAGTAGGAGGAGCTTACCGAGGACAGGAAACTGCAAGCAGTAATTGAGCAGGTTATGGTGGATCAGCTGTCGAGGTCAGTATCTCTCTTTCTCTCTCTCTGTTCCATTTTTGTTCTCAGTTTGTGATGAGTAATAACATCGTGAGGTTTCTCTGATGCTGACGCAGGGCTGTCATTAGCGATCCGGAACAGAATGCTGTGTCTGTCAATCCCACGAGTGTCCCACCACGCTATAGGAGAACTCTTCACCACACTAAGTAAAACCCACACACATACATGACTCAGATACTAAACGCTCTCTTTCTCCCTTTCTGTCTCATACTCATGGATTTGGAGAAGGTCACAGTGGTTACGTCCCCATTTTCATTTTGATATTTTTGTATTTTTATACATAATAGATGTTTTTGCAAAGGAAAGCACCACTATTATTATTGCTCACACTGATTCAAACAAACTACTAATCTTAAACTTTGGCAGCCGCATATCTGCATGCAAAAAATCACTCTGGACACCTTCACAACCACATAGCAACACCTTTGCAACTACCCACAAGCACTCAATAATTGTGATGGCCAGTTTTGCAAGAACCACTCACATTATCTTTAGAAAATATAATAGCATAAAAGCATAAAAGTAAAGTTCTCAGTTAGAATCCTGGAATTGTGTTGTCCAACATAGGGAAGAATATACATTTCTAATATAATGTCAGTTTACATATTGATTTTACTACTTCAGATAAAAGCATCTGCTAAATCAATGTTTCCTAAACTTGGGGGATTTGAGAGGGAACTACAGGGGGTTCAAGAGTTAATGAAAGGCTAATAATTAATTAAAATGTAAAATTATGTGTTTCAAATAAATAATAAATAATTTAAAATGAAAACCAATCAAAATAAAACATTTACTAAAAGATAAAAGATTTTATTTGTTTACCTGTATTTCGGGGACCATTAATTGACATCAGAAAACTGTGAACATGCAAATGTGTTGATAAATTATTGAAATATTAAATTAAAACTATTTATTTTGAGTATTTGAGGTATTTTAAGTATTTTGGGTATTTTTGAGTAAATATTTTAGGTATAAATATTTACAAAAGGGTTCAGCTGACAAAAAAAGTTTTAGAACTATCTGTTGAAAGAGAAAGAAAGAAAGAAAGTACATGTTTAAAGCAGTGGTTTTGAACCTCAGTTTTACAATAAAAAAAAAATTACAGACTCATTCGACATAATTTTCACTGGTGCTGTCTTGATCCACCAATAGATAATTTTGCAAGGCTGCTGTTTGTTTGCACTTCATTTCAATTATCTGCTACTCGAAACTCTAATTAAATATCAATAACTCATCTAAAAAAAACATAAGTTACATTTACAGTAAGAAATTGAAAAAAGGAGGGGTTTTGTTGAACCCAAGGTGCGACAAAGAACTATTCTAGTTAAATCAAGTTCAAATTTGTCACCATTGCACAAAAAACACCCATTCACAAGCTTATATGTGACCCTGGACCACAAAACCAGTCTTAAGTTGCTGGGGTATATTTGTAGCCAAAAAAACATTGTATGGGTCAAAATTATAGATTTTTCTTTTATGCCAAAAATCATTAGAATATTAAGTAAAGATCATGTTCCATGAAGATATTTTGTAAATTTCCTACTGTAAATATATTAAAACTTAATTTTTGATTAGTAATATGCATTGCTAAGAACATCATTTAGACAACTTTAAAGACGATTTTCTCCATATTTGGCTAACAAACCATACATCAATGGAAAGCTTATTTGTTCAGCTTTCATATGATGTATAAATCTCAATTTCGAAAAATTGACCCTTATGACTGGTTTTGTGGTCCAGGGTCACATATTTTGCTTTTGGTAAAACTGTGATTTGTGCTGTTTTAGGTTTTTGTTTTATGTCTACAGAGTAAAAACTCGGATGTCTTTAACAGAGAACATCTTATCCAACAAGCTCTGCTTTCAAGCCAGGATTTTATCAAGGTAATCACAGCTACTTACTTACTTTTAACTTTTTTAGTGTTTTATTTTGTAATTCGTATGTGCTCGATATATAGGTGTGGACGTGAAGCGTGTCGAAAACTGATTGGCTTCTTTTTCACATGTGACCAAACACTGACCGTGTACGAGTACCGAAATTTTGGTAAAAACAGGTAAGGCTGAATGCTTTGCATTTATACAAATGCAACTCACACATACAGTGCCAACAAGGGTTTCTGCACCAAGTCATGTTTTGCTTGGGGATCAAATACTTATTTCACTCACTGAAATGCAAATCAATTTCTAACCTATATATAATGTGTTTTTTTCTGGATTTTTTGGTTGATATTCTGTCTCTATCCGTTAAAATAAACCTACCATAAAAATTGCAGACCCTTCATTTCTTTGTAAGTGGGCAAACTTACAAAATCAGCAGGGGATCAAATAAATATTTCCCCCACTGTAGTTTTCCTCTATATTTAGGTGTCTGAAAAGCTAATTGTTAATCAAAACTCTTTCAGATGGAACGCACTGCCCTTTATCACGCGTGGTGTGCATTTGAACAGAGGGAGGCCGTACTGCCTGCAGGACATCTCACAGGTTCGACACACTCATCATCTGTCACACACACACACAGACTAATATTAATTCATTAACACTCTGCCTACATCACCCAGGGTGCCGAGCTTCGTGAAAGGGCTCAGAGTGTTTCTTTTGCACAGAACTCAGTCTGGGGAAACTCTACATCATCTCTCTGAAGAGGAAATCAACGATCGAAACACGCTACAGGAAATTCAAGGTTAGTACTTAACACATGCCTTTCTCTTACACACAACCATTTCTTATTGAAATGCATAAATATTCATCCAGAATGTTTCTCACCCACACAAACCTGTTTATAAGGTGATGTCATTTTCAATGTTAAAATTGGAACTGTCAATTTTTAATCAGATTAATTGCATGACAATCAATCAATCAATAAGGTCTATAAGATTTTTTGTTGTTTTTGAAAGAAGTCACTTATGCTCACCAAGGATGCTTTTGTGTTAAAAAACAACAACAAAAAAAACAGTAAAATTGTGAAATATTATAAAGTAACTGCTATCTTTTTTTAACATATTACATTTAAAATGTAATTTATTCCTATGATGCAAAGCTGAATTTTCAGCATCATCACTCCAGTATTCACTGTCACATGATCCTCCAGAAATCATTCTAATATGTTGATTTGCTGCTCAAGAAATATTTATTATTATTATCAATGTTGAAAATACTGTAGTTGTGCTGCTTAATATTTTTGTGATTTGACAGCACTTGTTTGTAAATATAATTGTCCAATTATATGTACAAACCAAATCAAATTTATCAATCTGGTCTTGCACCATGAGAATGACATTTTTAAGATGTCCTGTGAAATTAAAAACCTTTAAAAACACATATTGAGTTACTTGAAATGACACACTTCACCTTAAAGTGACTGTGTACTCTTAGGGCTACATTAATAATAATTAATTAACCAGCCACAGAATGCTTGAATTGGAATCCAGCGTTCTGATTGGCGGATGTTTTGCAGGTGCAGTGTGTGATAGGCTGAAGGGACATGCGGTCCAAACCCTGATCAATCTAGGAAGAGATTTACATCTAAAGTCTGATAGTATTCAGCAAAAAGAGCTGCTCAGACGATCTCTGATGGAGCAGCTGTGCCTCACTCAGCAGGTTAAGAGAAATAAAATCATCAATTTTTGCATTTCCCCCAAATATCTATCTATCTATCTATCTGTCTGTGTCTGTACAGCAGAAATGATGAGGCTGTAGGAAAGCAGCAGGCATGTTGATGTAGGACATTATGTGAGCGTGTTGAGTCGTTACGTTAGCGTGTGCCCTGTGTGACAGGACTTCGAGGCGGTGTGGAGGATTGTGAGTCGGCGTGCGGAGGGGCGGGTGCACCCCGCTGATGTGATGCGTGCCGTTACCGGGGAGATGAGCGAGAACAGAAAAGCCGTCTTCCTGAAGGTAACAGACCAGCCGGACTGCTTTCGTCCTCCAGAGGACGCCCTTGAGCTCTGTGATTTATTGAGTTTCCATTCTGGCCATTTGCTGCTGTTTTGAATGTTTGTATCTTTCGCTTTTTTAGGTTTATGTAAAGCTTGACCCAAATAAAACCGACTCCATCTTCCTCAGCGATATTGAAAAATTCTATAGAGGCAAACAAGAGTTTGACGCTGCACTCGGTGAGCCACTGATCACTTAAGTCTCTTGCTCACAGACAATAGTATCTTAGTTGTGTTTATTCAGTGTCATCAATATTTCATGACAAACATTGAGTGTTAAACCTGTGGCACTTCAGTATTGATTTTCAAAAAGGCTGCATAGAGTTCATTTTACAGATACGCTTATTGCGTAAGCGTATCTGAGATTCACTCTTGCAACAAACTTACAAGAGTAATATTACTGCATAGGCCACATGGATGATTGATGTTTATGAATTTATTACCATTCTCATGTCGAACTGTTGACAGAAGCCGATCTGAATCCTGACCTTCTGGCCTTCGTACGGGAAGCAGGAAAGGTCACCAAGACCGTGTCCTACGCTGAGTTTGAGGACTATTATGAGGGTCTGAGTATTGAAATCCCTGATGATGAAGAATACATCAACAATCTGAGAGCTACGTGGAGTATCTGAGAGCATCTGCCTTGTTTTTGGAAGGACACTTTCTGAATATGAGTGAAATATTGAGCTATTATGTTTGTTAATACCGTTTGTCACTATATATTACTCTTCATATTATAATATTTATAGTATAGAGTGTTGGTATAGCACAGTGTAGAGTACAATTAAAAATTTCAGGGTCAGTAAGATTAATACTTTTATTCAACAAGGATGCATTAAATTGATCAAAAGTGACAGTAAAGACATTTATGTTACAAAAGATTTCCATTTTAAATAAATGCTGTTCTTTTGAACTTTCTATTCATCTTGATAAAATGTATCACAGTTTCCACAAAAATAGTAAGCAGCACAACTATTTTCGACTTTGATAATAATAATAAATGTTTCTTGAGCGGCAAATCAGCATATTAAAATGATTTCTTGAGGATCATGTCACACTGAAGACTGGAGTAATGATGCTGACAATTCAGCTTTGCATCACAGGAATAAATTACATTTTAAATGGATTAAAAAAAAGAAAATTGTTAATTGAAATTGTTTTAATATTTCACTATATTACTGTTTTTACTGTATTTTTGATCAAATAAATGCAGCCTTGATGAGAATAAGATACTTCATATTGATAAATTTAACTACTCTTTGGAGACAGTAAAGACATTTATGTTACAAAAGATTTCCATTTTAAATAAATGCTGTTCTTTTGAACTTTCTATTCATCTTGATAAAATGTATCACAGTTTCCACAAAAATAGTAAGCAGCACAACTATTTTCGACTTTGATAATAATAATAAATGTTTCTTGAGCGGCAAATCAGCATATTAAAATGATTTCTTGAGGATCATGTGACACTGAAGACTGGAGTAATGATGCTGACAATTCAGCTTTGCATCACAGGAATAAATTACATTTTAAATGGATTAAAAAAAAGAAAATTGTTAATTGAAATTGTTTTAATATTTCACTATATTACTGTTTTTACTGTATTTTTGATCAAATAAATGCAGCCTTGATGAGAATAAGATACTTCATATTGATAAATTTAACTACTCTTTGGACTGGCACATGCTAACAAGTTTTAATTCATAAATGTTTAAAAATGTTAAATGACTGTTAACTTGAGTAACAATTTGTATTGATTTTATTTATCTACCATAATATCTGTACATATACAAACCTTAATATGAAAGGCTATGTAAAAAAGAAAATTCACAGATGAATCATGTGTCCAATATGGACATATATGCATGCATGGCATCAAAAGGCTATTTGTGGAAGGGCTCCCTCTGTGTCAATGGCCATTAGACAGTCCGTTCCCAGATTCATTAGAGTAGGTGTGTGTGTAGTCTTCCTCAGAACCCTCCTCATCCTCCTCTTCATCGCTGCGCTCATCGCCCTTCAGCTAAAGAGAATGAAAGAGAATTAATCTTGTGCATTTAATCTGCTTGTGTGAACGTTTTTACATACAAACACATTTACTTTTTAATAAACTGATTTTTTTTTTTTTTTGCTGTTTAATACGTGAAGAAAAGTCCAACCACTCATTAACTGTAGTAAAATCACTAAAATGCACATACTGCTTTATTTGTTATCTTATATGAAGAACAATGGATACTCACTTTGCCGAAAATAAACTTTTTGACCATGCGGAGAATCACAGAAGCCCAGAACACGTGCAATAACAGCAGCACCACGAGCATGACGTTAAAGAAATAATAGCCGAAAAAGGGTTCAAACTGGTCCAGAGGATACACCCACGTACAGTGGATCAGCCTGTACACACGACACACACACACACGATTTAACAAATGTAACCCTAAAATCTCCCACTCATTTACCTCTGTCACATAACTTACCAGAAAGGAAAAATGATGAGTCTGGTTACCATGAAGACCAGAGCGAACACCACAAAGATACTGTTGCAGGTCGTCTCCCATCCAGCATAGTTAAACATCTTAGCAGACTTAGAAAAACAGAAAAATGAAAACCTTTAACACAAAACATATATACCCCTGTACATATAAGTTTGGGTTGGTAAGAGTTTTTAACAGTTTGAATGAAATCTTGTGCTCAGCAAAATACAGTAAAAACATAAATATTGCAAAATGTAATTGCAATTTAAAATAACTTTTCTATTTGAATATATTTTAAATATAATTTATTCCTGTGATACAAAGCTGAATTTTCAGCATCATTAAAAATCATTCTTCAAAAATCATTCTGATATGCTGAAATAGAAATATATATCTACTACTAGAAAAAAAAATCTCCTATAAACACAATCATCTCCTTTAGTGTTCCACAGAAGAAAGTAAGTCATACAGGTTTGTGACAATGTGAAGGTAAGTAACTGAATGACGACAGAATTTTAATTTTTGGGTGAACTATCCTTCCCTTTAAGACATGTTGAACTCTTCTTTCACTGTTCAGCTCTCTCTCACCTCGAGTAGGACATCGGATGTGTCATGCACCAGCATAACCAGTGTGCCAATGCGGATGTAGTTGGCACACCAGGAGAAGGACAGCAGTGTTAGTGTGGCCCAGTGATGGACCAACTGCTCTTTAAAGTCCTACAAATTGACACAGAGAGAAACAGAGCTCCACAAACCTAGACAGACATATCTCTCAAGATATGACAACTTCATACTCATATCAATTTTTTTCAGTTATTTACAAATTTCATACAATTTCTCCAAAAGCATATTATTTTAATGAATGTAAAACAACCGTTCATTGAACTTTATGCACTGAATTGCATGAATTTTTGCTTGCTGATTGTTTTATGACATTATTAGCAGTGCTATCTGCAGGCTAGTTGAATAAAGGCCCGTTCACACCCAGCACGATAACTATAAAGATATAGTTCTAAAAATCGTTCTCAAAATTAAAGAATAGCAGAGTGCTTGATGTGACTTTACTAATTTTATCTCATAGTCATACATATTTTTTATGATTGTTAATAATAATAGTGCATGCTTACCTTACGTTTTACATCTGCAGCCACACTGAACAGTAAAGAACCATAAAAACTCATCTCAATGATGTAATACCAGTACTGAGAGTCCAGCAGTGACTGTACACACACACACACACACACAAAACAAACATTTAAAAACCAACCGCCATACAAACACATGCTTGCACAAACACAACCCTCCCAGAACAACATGCAAATATTAAGACTGGTTTTCACTGTACTACGTACAGTATATTCGTTTTTGCTTTTAAAACACTCGAATGTAATGTTTTTTCTTTTTCTAACTTTCTTTTTTTTTCTTAACTTACTTGTTTGGGAAATCCTGCCCACACTTCCCTTAGATCATAAAACCATGGTTTCTGTGGCACAAAACAACACAATTCACAGTTTATTGATTTATTTTTAAAACCAAATAACACAAATAAAATAAACACTAAAGTATTGCAGTCTGTGTTGAGGAGTTTTCAGATTCTTTCCTCAAGTTGCATCGTTACGCCAGTAGGTGGCGTCAAGTGAGTGAATCTTTGAATCATTCGAATCAACAGATTCACTTCAGAAAGAAACACCACTACGATGTGTACTCGGAGATACTCGACGATTGATTAAAACAGTTCACCGGTGAAGCAAAAATATTCAGACTTAACTGTCAATAATTGTGTCTAAAATGTAAGTTACTCATCATTACCTTCTTGTTTATTGAACTGTTGTTTAAAAGCAACATCGTAGTCTACTCAGAGACTGTTGGTCTGAATATCTCCACAGCTGTGATAACCTGCACGTTTGCTCTTGTGAAATAGTTTAATTATAAGTTCTTCAAAACAACAAATTTATTTATGTGTTATTAAAAACCCAATTCAAAAGAGCCCACCCCATAGGATAATTCTCTACGTACCTAAACCCTTGATATGGTGATATGGGATTACATGCCTACATTGAATACGTTAGTATAGTAACGTAATAGTGATGCTTGTCTTAACAAGTTAATGTGTGTGTGTGCAGGGCCTGTCCATGCCTGTTATTGTGCCCGTTTATGGATCTTTCTACCAGGCTGGAGCTGTTTTCAGGTGGGAAAATGTTACTAATTACCCCTTTAAGCATTTCTCACAAACACACATGCTGATTCAAGGTCTCTCCTGAGAATCTCTGCATGTGCTGTAACACACACACACACACACACACACAGGCACGCAGCCGTTTGGAGGTCATTCAGATGTTCAGATACAGCCTGAGGTTTGTATATACATCAAAAAATCACTTACATCATGTAAAGCCAGCACTCCTCCGAAAGACGAACACAGATAAAAGGCAAACCGCCAACTACAGAGAGGAAATACTATTGTCAATAACAAACATACACGTTTGAAAACGGTTAAAAGGTCAAATATAGCCAAATACAAATGAGTCAATCAAGAAAGTTTGTTTAGTGTGTGTAAATATACCTGGCTTCTTTGAATTTCTTCAGTAGTCCGGGTCTGTCTTGGTTCCTCCGTCTGCGGAACCAGCGCTCCACCTGCCTTTCTGACCAGCCCAACTTTTTACACACACCTTTTATATCTGCCTAAGTAAATGACATACACAAACATTACTAGACACATAAACATCATATGTCAAAATGTGCTGGCCCTACATATACTGGTGAATAGGACATATTTTTCTATTAATTGTTGAAGCCTGCTTATATAATGCATTACAAAGGTACACTGTAAAAAATATTTTTTGAAATTGTAAATAAAACCAAATTATTAAAGCATGTTTTTACAACAAAATATGTTTTCAGTCTTTCAAAATTTCATGTTTAATTCTGTGTGTTGTTTGCCATTCTTTGTAAATATTTGTGTTATATCAATCAATTTCTCAGTGAGAATCGTTTCAAAGCCAATTTTTTCAGTGTTTGTAATACCTTATACATATTGTGAGACATTATATATTTTCATAAATAACTGAACTACTATTATAATAATACATTATAGTATGTGCCTACACTCAACTTAAATCAACCTTTATTTATAAAACACTTTATTTATAATACACATGGTTCCAAAAGAATCTAATCCATTTTAAAACATAATATTTGGTTTTAATAACATGTTTTAATCACTGATCTATATAAATGATTATTTTTGAGGGTATTTTCACAAAAACATGGCATATATTTCTTGCTAATTATTCTTAATTGTGATTAAGAACATCAATCGTTCAGAAATGTTGTATTATTATTATTCATTAAAATAAGCCTAAATGGAAGTTAACAAAGATTCATATTTTGGGGGAAATGTGTAATTTTCAAAACAATACATAATGTAAAAAAATCTTAAAGGTCCTTACATTTTTATTTATATATATTTTTTACTTTTTTCTTTTTTACCACCTATTTTTCTTCTGATTAAATGCATTATATGAATGCATTAAAATGCATGTTTCGGGGGTTACCTGTGTTGGATGTTTAGAGTGTGTATTGTAGTATTTTTCCAGTACGGGGTTGTGTGACGCTCTCTTGCGAATTTTGTCTTTAACCCCAAGAGCCTCAGCGAGTGGCACCGCGATCAGCCTGTTGAATGAGGGAGAGGCAGCGAGACAGAGTCACACCTTGATCTGCTGTTAACCAGAGACGTTCACTGCACTTCAGCAATTATAAGAACATATGATACATGGTGTTTTCACCAGACTTATTAATTATCTTAAGCAGTAAAGCTTCCTTGACCAACTGGCTTTACCAGCTCAGTTTTCCTGATGAACAGCATGAATATACAATTCCACCAGCACTATTCAGCAAAAACCAGCATGTAAATTTATGCTGATGTAAGCTCGTCTTTTCAATAACATTTAGCTTGTGTGTGTACCTTTCATAGAAAGCTCTTAAGCCTAGCAGCAGGACTGCTACAGGTAGAATGATGTACAAATGGGACACACGGGCATAGACACGCCCCTCACTGTCCTGTAGGTCCACCCATGTCACCGGCCTCGGCAACCACAGCCGATCCCACCAAAACCACTCACTAAGCATCGCCCTGTGAAAAACACACAAACACAGCAACAGCATTTACATGCATTCATTTAGCAGATGCTTTTATCCAAAGTACCTACAGTAAAAAAAAAAAATAGAATATTGATGAAGAAACAATGGAAAGCCATGCTTGTGAGTAACAGAGTTGTGTGCCATTCAAATCTAAAAGAGAATGCATTTCATGTTTCTCAATTTGAATTGGAAACATGATGCAGAATTGGAATTCAAATCTGTAATTTAAAGGGGTCATATGATGCTGCTAAAAAGAACATTATTTTGTGTATTTGGTGTAATGAAATGTGTTTATGCATGAAATCGCATCATATGACCCCTTTAAATGTATGGAAGCAGAGAATGTGAATTGAATGAACTGACATGCAAATAAACATGCTCATGTAACTGTAAATTTGAACTAGAAAAGCAAAGTTTGCCAAGACAGACTTTGAAAAGGCTTCACAGTCATGAAATGTATAGGCCTTACAGATGGACAAACATAGATAGATAGATAGATAGACATGGTTTTAAAACATAAAAATGTGTTTTGTTGGTATAAATCAATCCATTTAGGTGGATACATTTGGGTGATTTTAAATAATATTTCTTAAATAATGATATTAAAACCAGTTAATTTAGATGTTTTTATGTTATTTTCTCAGTGATAGATGGATGGATGGATGGATGGACGGACAGACAATAGAATATTTGGCATTTTCCCAGGCTGTTGTAGTGTTATGCAGTAGCTCCTGTAATAGGATACATACCTGAGCACAATACACAATAGAGACAAATGAACACAGACACCTGCAAAACTTACTGGAAATTTCTGTTTGCTAGTTTCTGTACCACTTCAGGACCATAAATTTAGTCCTTCAAAATCCAGAGGCTTTTTGCAGTGAAGACTTGTTTAACAGTGTCAGAAACATTAGCGGCAGACTTTATTAATGAAAGATAATTGACATGCAAATACTGAAATCTACAATAGCATGCAGGAACTGATTGTGGAAAGAGAGTTCAAAACATGTTTGAACAGCTCTAAGCAGAGCCAGTTATGAGTCTCACTGGGAGTATCCGACTGCAGTACGGATCTGGACTTATATAAAGTCCTTCAGACCCACTTTTAACAATAGTATCTAATCAATCTTGTATTACACATAAGACAAAAGCAAAACACTGATTCAAGTAGTATTTTGTTAGAGCGAAAGCAGAGGAGCTCAAGTTACTGCATGCATTCTTATAGTAAGTAGTGACTGTTTATTGTTACCATGACAAACAGACATATAACGTCCCAAAGACTGACTGAGAAACACATGTCAAACAGAAACAAATGCATACCAGATTTGTCCTTTTCTTGTTTGTACACACTCTTTTCTCTCCTCCTGTTTTCCTGCTTTCTCTGTTGTAATTCTGTTCACACACACCTTTAAGTAGATCCTCCAGAGTTGTGCCCAGTCCTGATGAATCCGCTAGGTAGCGAACTTTCTCTCTCTCTCTCTCTCTCTCTCTCTCTCTCTCACACACACATACACACTTTCACTGCATACCTCAACCCCCCACAAAGAGCTCATTATTGAACCGCCTGTGTGTGTGCCTTGAAAGGGGGCCAGAGAACTGGATATGTAGGAGGGGCCACAGTCTCCTCAGGTATAGTCAAAGAAAGGCAGAGTCAGAAGGAGAGAGAGGACATGAACCTTGAAATATTGCATGCCCTAAACAGGTTAATAACTCACAGGTTGAATAAGAGAAATGTTCTTTCTCTTTGTTGTGACATTCTTACTTGGCAGTGTTTTAGTTCTTATTTACATTTATGCACCTGGCTGGGTATGCTTTCATTCAAAAGGGCTTACAGTGCGGTCAAGCTTTACGTTTTGTTTTTGTTTAGTTTTTTTAATCAGTGTGTGCATTCCCTGAGAACCAAACCTGCGACCTTGGTGTTGTTCGGGTCATGCTCTACCAGCTGAATTACAGGAACACTGCTACTGGTTCTTGGTAACTTGTGAGTGATTTGGTGTGAAAGCATCTACTTTAGCCAAAATCTTACAGGAATGTGTACAGGATTCCTGCTGGATCATAATTTGGAACCAACTGAAAATTATACTACTGATTTTTTTTTTTTACAGGACTTCAACAAAACACAAACCAGAACCTGTATCTTTGAGAACACATACTGTAGTTTGGGTTTTTATTCTTAGCAGTCAGATAAAATGCCCATGTAAGACATTAAAAGTAATTGAAAGAAAATTGTTTTTAAACTCCTACAGCGCGCCCCCTGTGGGATTCTTAACTGTACATTACCAAGACATAGTTCTTGTGATGCCCCAGTCAAAATGTTTAAAGAATTTCTTTGGATCATAATTTGGAACCAATTTAAATAGATTCCAGTGGAACTTAACCAAACTGAAAATCCTACAGTATCCTTGACCTCCTACTGGATATTGTGTAATCTTTATCAGAACATGTCGTACTACTGGATAGATAAAGGACAAAGGAAAAAGAGAGATAACGATAAGGAAATCCTACTACTCTTTAAATTCCTTTTAATATCCCACAGAGACATATTATTCTAATGATAATCAATCATAATAGTGCTGTTAGTAACTAGATCTAGTTTTTAATTTCAATTGGTTTATGTTAAAGTTGGTTCCAAATTAGGATCCAGTAGGAATCCATTCTTAGAGGATTTTGACAAGTTATTAATGCTTTTTATATTTATATTTAGACACTTTAAAAATGAGAACATTTCAGATTGTGAAATTTGATTCTTGAGAAAAGTCCTATTGGATCCTTAGGACTGGTTCCTTTTGACATTTCCGTAAGATTTTCATTAGGGAAAAGTCCTGTATATGGTAATGCAGGACTGAGAAATCTTTACTTTATGGAATATTGTGAAGGTGCGAATTACTGGCTCCACCTGTACTTACTATGCATGACTTGATTCTGACAGTCCTTTGTCTTACTGGTGTCCCAGCCCTCAGTGTCTTTTCGTGTAGGTTTGCTGTCTCCATCTTGTGGTGGTCGAAAATACAGCATTTAGAGAGTCAGTATACAGCAGAGGGTCAAAGATGCATGATGCAAAAAGCCCCTGGTGGTAGTTGCTGTAACTACAACATTATGAGGGATAAAAGCACATTTTCCATTGACAGACATTCAAAAGTAGCAGTGCATTCTGACAAACCATGCTATAGCAAACAAACAAATAAATAAATAAAATAAAACAAACTTCTTCCTTTCCTCTTTTTATTATGAACAGTAATCATATTTTTTCATTATAATATCAAAATATTGTCAGTTTCTCAAGACCTCTAGAAATAACATGGACGTGAATGTTCTACTTGACTGCTGTTTGTAACCATTCTTAGCTAATTGATCCCTGTTAGCACAATGCATATCATACACACCTGCCATGCCACATAGATCTGAATACACAGAGGCCATGCCCACATTGCAGCTAAATACAGCTGTCAACTCCAGTTGCTTTAATAGTTCACCCCAATATTTGAGTTTGTTTGTCACACAAGCTGTTGTATGGCTTCAGAATATAGCATACGAGTCGTCTAGTCTGCTTTTATGGTGCTTTTTGTCTTTTATAGAATTTGTAAAGTATAAATAGTCATTCACTTTATTACATCAAAGAGAGACGCCTGGACACTCAACATCATTTCTTATTTTGTGTTCCAGAGATGAAAGAAACTAATATTGGCTTGAGCGACATCACGTTGAGTAAATGATGGCATTATTTTCATTTTGGGTGAACTAATCCCTTAATCCTGTTCTGTACACACAGAGTTTGTTTATTAGTGACATCTAATGATGCATTAAAAATGGCCAGACACGAATACATCTCAGTACGCTAATATTAGTTTGCGGAAAAATAGAAAACACCAAACAGGCTAAACTGCTGGCATGTATCTTTACAGCTGTGAGACATTAACTATTGCTTGTTTGGAGTGGTAGGATTGACACTTGTATTCCGTACACAAATGGAGCGATAACTTAGCTATTCATTCCTGCAAATAAATGCATTTGTCACTTCAAATCTTGGCAGTGTGAACGTTGCCTGTATGCATTCATACCTTTTGTCCCCCGTTAGTGAGGAACAACTTTAAAAGTGACGATTGGGTCTAAATCCCTGAAAACCTCTTCACATTGAATATAGCATGCTTTAGCTGTGCATTTTTTTTTTTACATTAGCTTTAGCTGTGCTAGCATAGTGCTAAATGGGATTATGTAAAATACTACAGTGTATTTGCAATGTACAACGTAATTGGCTACGAATCCATTTCAACATCACATTTCTTTATCATGTCATGAGCGTGCTGCCAAGCTACGTGCTAACTTGCCATATGGATGAGACACTACAGATGTTGCCACCAAAGACAAATAGACAATTCCACAAACAAGTTGGCTCATTCTGAAGCTGACGTATTGTGTTAATAAGTTCACATTTAGTTATTATTCTGGTTAAGTACATGTTAGCAAAACTCATGAAAGAACACACCACGAAATGAAAGTTCCACTTGCTGAGTAACAAATCGTATGGACTGCAAAGCCCTTTGGCCCATATTCCTAAGCCTCTCTCTCTTCTCACCTGTTCTGGTTCAAGAGGTCAGGTTAATGAGATCTGGTGTGTGTATATCTGCTTATGTCTGTACAGGAGTTTATATGTGAAAGAGAGAATGGCAAGTCACAGTATAAGACAATGTTTAAGAGTCATCGAGCCATGTCAAATGGCTCCAGAAGAACACCCAGAATGCACAAGTCTGCACTCGGTCCTCCAATAAAGTTGGTGATTCTGTGCAAAAGAAGTCCCCCTAGTTAACCAACCAAGTGAACCTCCACCAAGCCATCAACAATTGATCTACATCCAGAGTTACTGAAGATGCTTGTTCAGTCACCATTGAGAAATTAAAGATGAGTTGTTGATGGCATGGGTTGCCTGGCACTGAGAATGGTGATCGGATGCAAGGTGCTGAAAAGGTGGAGTGTTGTTCCACTTCATCTTGTCCCACTCATATGGGAGTGTTACGTTTGAGATCACTGGGTGAGGGGGGGATCTGTTGACTGAGGTGTGTGAAGGTGGTGGAGTGACTAGGTCTGGTCTTCGTCTCCCCAGAAGTCTCTGCGCCTCTATACTTCGGAGGAAGAGTCTGGCATCGGCCCTTAACTTTCGAGCCTGGATCAGGAGGTGGAAGCCCTTTCGTTGCACTTCCCATCAGCTCTGGTTTGGAGGGAGGCCGTGGTAGTCCTGTTGACTGGCTGCCCACAAGCTCTGGTTTCGAAGGAGGACGTGGCAAGACTGTCGAAAGGCTGCTAGCAAGCTCCGGTCTGGATGGCGGGCGAGGGAGCGCGATGGAATGGCTGCTCGTGAGCTCTGAATCCAGTGAATCTGAGACAGACATTTGGCTTTCAGAGGGCTTGGTTTTAGATGGTCCTCTAGAGACCATTCGGGTGAGCTCACTAGAGGATGGAGGAACTTTCTGGTCGAGATGTGGGAATGTTGTCGAGTGGCTAGGTCTGGTTACATGCGCTTCAGCTTCAGGTCCTCTGTGCCTTGGCGGAAGAGTTCGGCAACGGCTCTTAGCTCTGGAACTTGGGTCTCGAGGTGGAGGTTCATTCGAGTCGAACTCTCGGTGCCGTGGTAGTGAGCAGGTTTTGATTGAATGAATGGACTGGTTTGAACATGCTAAAGGTGTGGTGGGTGATTCATCATGACAGGCTATCTTAGACAGGGACTCTGAAGTTGTATTGAGACTTTCACAGGTCGAAGGTTGAGGCCTATCAGGCAGATCACTGGTGGATGCGATGGGTTCCTCTGCTGATTGTTCCTCAAGCTCTTCCTCCTCTCCGTTGGTCACCTGTAGTTCTTTCAGCTCTTCATCTGGCTGGCTTAGCAATACCCCACTGCAGACAGGCAGCTCCTCCGATGATCCTTCCTCTAGACACTTGATGACTACATCATTGTTAGTAGTTGTCAATGGGTGTGACTGGGTGCATTGCTTGTCTGCCTCCTCGGTGAGCAGAAGATCCATCATGAGTGCTTTCTCTCTCTTCAACTGCTCCTTCAGAGAACGAGGCACATCTGGGATCAACCATGCCACCAGCATACTGAGGAACATGGCCAAGTTCTACAACACAACAACATACAGAATCAAACACGCAGTCCTATTTTATAGGAATATTCTGGGTTAAATACAACTTAAGATTCAAGTAATTTGGATTTGTTTCTCAGTTTGCAAGAACATAAGAAAACCCTTGTACAATAATGCACTTTTATAATAGAAGTTTGTGGGAAGTGTTAATCTTGTCAATGAAATGTTTGCTGACCAAGGTTTTTAAAAAAATTATTTTTATTTTTTTTTTCATCAACAATATCAAAGTAAAACATTAATTAAAACATGTTTTTTTGCAGGTTTTATGCTGATAAATCTAATGTTGAACATGGGAATGAAATGTTTATATATTTTTCAAATATTTGGTCTATTGTAGTTTGACACATTTTTGTTATTTTGCATATTATTGTCAAAAAATGCCATTAACAAAAATAAAATAAAAAGCCTTTTTAATAAAATAAAAATAAGAAGATGGATTAAAATGTATGCATATTAAATGACGAAATATTGATTTAATTTAAAGGACATTTTTATCATAAGACAGTTCCAAATGATTGAGATGAAAACTGTGTAAAAATGATCACTGCCTATGGGGCATGTTGGATTTAAAACTGAATCATGCAGCATTATTTATTCATTTATTTAGTTAGCTTTATTTATACTTGGCTTTACTGCAATTATATGAATTCTTCATTAAGAATTTTTATAATACATATATACATATTAGGTGGATTAATTTCTGGTTAAGCATTTATTTATGTAAATACCATTTGTGGAATTTGCTCTATATGCATATGGATTTCTTAAATTAGCATGTTCATCTAATCTGTCAATCAAATTTAAGGTTAATAGGCCACTGCTGCTTTTATCACTTAGGTGACAGTTCTTCCGGCATCCCCCGCCTCCACTTTATATCTAATATTTCAGCTCTATTTTAATCTCTTACTAGAAGTACAAAGGAGGGGAATTAAAGCTTGAGCCCCCTCAATGTAGAATGAAAACTAAATCTGCTTGCCTTTATCACGCAAAGATTATACTGACATATGAAGTCATTAAAATACTTTAGAGATATTTACATTACAACCCTTCTTTGTATCATTGCATGGATATCATGTAAATGAGACCGGGATGACATGGTCATGACTTTATTATTTTTTTTAATGGTAGAGAGAGCTTAAGTTGTATTTAACTTGCAGTGTTCATTGAACAACAAGAAAAGCAGTTTAACAAAGTCTGACCTGGAAAAAAATGACAAAAGCCAGGCGTGCAGCGAGCACAGACCAGTACTGCTTAGAAAGCTGGTAAGATTCAGGAGACCAAGGTGGATCTCGATAGTCTTTGTACCTGTGAAGACGAATTGTTGAGGAGAAAGAACAAATGGTATCAGATCATATAGGCGAGCAGAGTTCATGAGTATGAGTGTGTTGCATGTGTGTCTTGTGTACCTGCAAATACGGAGTTGTCTGTCAAAGTCGGTGTCATGCGGGACAGTGCCAGGTTTAAAGTTCCTTGTGTTGAAATAAGCCAGTGTGTGGTTGGTATAACCATGCATGGTGCCTGTCTCACTGTACAAATACTGATACACCATCCGAGGAATGAACTCAGATGTAAAGGAGATCACAAATGCCTTGGAGGAAAGAGAGACAGAAAGAAGAAAAACCTTAAAATCTCTGCACGCAATGAGATAAATCATACTAAACACAGCCAGCAACAAGTCAAAATCTTAACACTCACATTTGTAATGACAGCAAACTTGCTGATTCCACTCAAGATGTTGTACCATATGCCTGGGAAAGGGAAGATAAATATGACAGTGTGAACTAGATTAAATAACAGTTATGTTAAGTGTAACCATGAGTAAGTCTGTGCATATTTGCTACAAAAATTCATACCAATCTCTTTAGCACTGACTGCATCAGGTCTGCGTATTTCAGTGACGAATTTTGCCGCATCTAGTCGGATTTCAATGACATTATTAAGCAGAGCGAAGACTGGTGCCAGCGGGAAGGAGGCCACAAAAAGTGTGACAAATCCATACTGAATAACTGCAGACAAACAAACACACACATACACCAATGTCCTTAATCAAACCCAATTCCTCAAAGTCATCGCAGACATCCTTAAACACCATCGCTAAACCTCTTCAAAGGAAAAACTAATAATAGAGTGTATAGAGCAGATGTTGGCATCCATTTTGATATTTTTTATATTTCTTGTTAATCACCAATCCACTAGTGCTTCCCATACGGCGGTTTGACTACAGTGAAGGATTACTGCAAGAGTTACGTACGTTACTTGCCATGCAGATTTGGGGATTTCAAAATTAACAACTAAATAAAATAATACATGTAATATTCCTCTTTCTTTGTGACAGAAGGTTACCGACCACTGTCAGAGTCTCTGAAGTTGTAGTTGTAGTAGAACTTGTGATAAATAGTAAAGCAAAGAAAACATATCAAGTGACCCACAGAATCGGCTCAGTGGTAACTGTTAATCAACATGACTGATCCAGTCTACAACTACAGGGTTAACCCGATTGACATATCTGTCATAGGTCATTGTCAATATGATACTGTTGTATTGATTCCTTCAACCAAGCTGTGTCTATGCTCTCTCCATATCACAAAGCTTAAGGTCTGTTCACACCAACCCAAACAAATATTTGGTCCGGTTTTCAAATTGTCTGCTCAGACCAAGGCATAAAAAACAACTGATGGTCTAAATGAAAATGGACAGATCCATTCTCACAGGGCAGAAACCCTTTAAAGGTCCCCTGAAATGCTTAGAAACACGCAGCGTTACTCTATGTGTTGACGTCATTTTAACTGAAACAGGAAGACAGGGCGGGACATATCAAGTAGCCCCGCCCCTTTTTAAAATAGCCAATAGCATTCGTTTATATCACATCTTAGATTTCATGGGAACTTTAAGCCATAAGTTAGGGGAAGCAATTCCGACAGCTGGATTGCTCACCATCAGATTCTGTTCCCCCCATGTTTCTTATACAAGGAGATTATAAGATTTTTCAAACTGATACAGGTTATAATCTATCCCCATTTGTGACAGAATCAACTACTTTTAAGTAGTTACATCAACATGTCTCTCCATGGAGGTGGGAGAACAGATTCCAACAGATGGATTGGTTGGCATCAGATTCTGTTCCCCCCATGTTTCTTATACAAGGAGGTTCTAATATTTATCAAACTGATACTGGTTAAGATCCTTCCTCATACAGGATAGAATCAACAACTACATTAACATCTCTCACCCTGGAGTAGGGCGAACATATTCCAACAGATGGATTGCTCCCCAATATTTCCTATACTAGGAGGTTCTAATGTTTCTGAAAAAGATACTGGTTAAGATTCATCCCCATATGGGATAGATTCAACAGTTTTTAAGCATCTATATCAACATGTCTCTCCATAGTGGTGGGGGAACAGATTCCGATAGCTGGATTGCTCACTGTTGGATTCTGTTTCCCCCATGTGTCTAATACAAGGAGGTTCGCTTAGCAAAATACATCAAGTAGTGGTTTTATGCAACAGCAGTGTAAGGCCCAGCTTGGAAGAACTCTCCCTGATTGCAATGACTCTCCCAACCTCTAGTTGGCACTAACTAGTAACACTCCCCATCATTTCGCTTACACTGGTTCTATGCAATAACACTCCTAGCCACTAGGTGGCCCTAGCTTCTGTTGATAGATACATCACTACTCATTAGGACTTGAATGCCCCCAGCCGTGTGTCTTTACCCAATTAATGTTGGCCTATTTAAGCGTGCCCCATTTGCTCACCTGTGTTCAGTCTTGAGCCTACTACGCCTGTGTTTCCTCACCACCTAAGCTAGTTTATTGAGATTTTGGATTTTGCCTTTTGCTCATCTTTTATTTCTTGCATTTTTCTATGGAAGCACGGCTTCCCTTTTGTTGTACTTTTGAACTTGGACTGCTCCAGTAAAGCTTTTGTTCAGTTATCTAAGTCTCTCTGTTATGCTTCTGCCCTTGGATCCCTCTGTCGACTGTCATCCACTATAGCACAGTGGTAGAGGAGACAGCTCGGTTGCCTAGCGGACCCGAGTTCGATTCCCGCCTCAGACACCCATCACAAGCAGTGGCTCTAGGCAATCACAAATCTTATTTCAAAAATATGCAAAAATGCTGCTGGGGTATAAAGTCCATAAATCGGTGCTCTTTGTATGCAGGATTTCTAAATTCATCCAAAAACGAATCACTCCAAGGCACTCGAAATTATAGTGAAAAATTAAATAGCCTTTATTCACATGGCTTTACATTAAAAGCAACACACAATGAATGAAGGCTGATGAAGGCTTGTTAGCCGCAACACGTCGGTTGTGAATAAAGCCATGTGAATAAAGGCTTTTTAATTTTTTCACTATAATTTCGAGTGCCTTGGAGTGATTCGTTTTTTGCACAAATCTTATTGGTTGGCCAGCATTTTTCATAGTGTGATAGAAAATTGATTTGAAGCCCCTCGGTTTAAAAAAAAAAAGTTTGTGATGGTCTGAACATATGAATTAATCATTTATTAAAATTAAATTATTTATTTTTACGGAACATTTGTATTGGTGTGAATGCCTTTATTTTAAAGGTGCCTACTTATAAAAAAAAAATGTAAATGTAATTTAATAAGAGCCAGATCTTGCTTTCAAGATTGATCATTTCTAAACAAAATTTAGACACAACACAGCTTCTTAGTTAACTAGTTGTCCAGGTAGAGTGCAAAGCCTAAAATGAATTATGATTGGTCAATAGCAGCCAGAGACGAAGTACATCATGGTGATGTCAAATGCCTAACAATTATATTGTAAGTTATTTAATTATTACAGCTATTAAAGCCAACTTTAAACAGCATTCACTCCTTTCAAAATGTAATGGAGCAAATCATACATTTTGAAGAAATCTTTGGAAAAAACATAATATAATGAAAATAAGACCAGGAATGTATATAAAAAAATCTAATTTTAGTTGACTATAAAGAGCAATTCTAGAAAAAAAATGGTCAAGCCACAACACTATCATTAAACAGTCAAATAAGGCTTTCAAGTTGCTACAAAGCACATAGTAATGATGTTTTTGGGGTTGTAAGGTACTTAAAAACAAGTAGAACAATGAAAGCGATGCACCAAACGTTGCTGACATTTGAGTCTATTGTTCAATTTGAGCATGTGGTACTCACCCATCTCCATGTACTCTGGGCTCAATCCTTCATATGGCTCCAGATCATAGTCCAAATCCCAGCGCTGTGGTTCTCGTTTCGAATCTTTGTCCTCCTCATCTGCCGATCCATCTTTCTCCTCCTTATATGTGCGATACATCTTCTTCAGCTTTCTGTAATGTCAACAGATTTGGCCGTGTTATTTTAAACACCTCTTCCATCACTCACTGTGCACTGTGTTGGTAATGTTAAACTGTGTGGAGAATTAAAATTTAATTTAACAAGAGAGTTAGGGGCTTCCTCTAATAGACTGGGGGTACATTGCAGAATCAAAGAAAATGAGCAGAGGGACCACGGGGAAGACTTTGCATGTGTGTATGTGTGTGTAAAACACTTACGGAATGGCAATTTCAAACACATTATTCTGAATGAGCTGCTTTCCCAACATAATGATTCCCAGCTGAATACACACTTCAATAAGACAACCACCTGGAGAACACTAGACCAAAAACACATGTACATGCAAACTGTTAGTTACACTATGCTAAAACACTGAAGACAAACATATTATCATTTTAATAATTACCTCTTCCATGCGGAAATCCTTAAAGACATAAACATAGTCACCCGGGCGACCGGCAAACCTAAATTAGCACACCAGAGTTATGAGAGATATTTAACAAAAACGTCAATTGGATTAAACAATGTAACCCAGAAATTCAGCATTTTGGTGCTAGACTCTACTACACAGTGACTCACTATATTGTAAACTACAACATAATAGTGTACTGTTCAGCAACACAACACATATAACACACAGACTCCACAAAACAGGTTGTTATAGAACTGTAATTTGCATATGGAAATGTAGACATGAACTCTCCAAAAAAGTAATACATTATTAAAACATGTTAAAAATAGTTTCAATTGTGTAAAAAAGGGGTAAATGTACAACATGGGGCATGTATACAATAATTATATAAAAGAGCATATTATATGAATTATTATATATGAATAATATATATATATATATATATATATAGTAAAAAAATGTAAATGTAAATCCATTAAATAATATTAAATACAAAATTTTTTTCAGTTGTAAATACAACTGACTGATTTCTTTAATATATTATGTATATGTTGAAATACATAATACTAAGATTACTAAATGAAGTTACACTTTATTTTAAGGTGTCTTTGTTACAGTGTAATTATACGTTTAAGTACTGAGTAATATTAATTAACTACATGTACTTACTATATGGTTAGGGTTTGGCTTAGGGTTACTTGCATGTAATTATGCATAATTTATTGTTATTATAATAGTAAGTACATGTAACACGTGTAACAAGGACATCTTAAAATAAAGCGTTACCCTAAGTTATGTTTCATTGTTGGTTCATGTTAACGGATGTTAACAAATGGAACCTTACTGTAAAAGTTTAACAATATTTTTTGTTTCTCAGCGTTACATGATTTTAGGTTAAAGGGGTCATATGATGCAATTTCAATTTTTCATTTCTCTTTGGAGTGTTACAAGCTCTTGGTGCATAAAGAAGATCTGTAAAGTTGCAAAGACTAAAGTCTCAAATCCAAAGAGATATTCTTTATAAAAGTTAAGAGTCAACCACGCCTACCTAAAACGGCTCGTTCTAACACACCACATGTCTATGTCACGATGTGGGAAGATTTGCATAACGCCGCCCAAATGTGCACGCAAAGAAAGAAGGCGTAACTTTATTGTTGCTGCC